CTGAGGATCACTTTTAAAGCCAGCCGGGCAGGGAAGTCCGTGAGATTCTTATTTTATTTTGTACGTTTTTATTGTAAAAATACTGTACAGAGGGGTTACATTTACATGAGCAAGGTAATGAGTACATTTCTTATGGAACATTGTCCATGAGACTCTTATCTCCAATTAACCACCAGAAAGCCAGAAGTGGCACTGTGACTCAAGTGGTAGAGTGCTTGCCTTGAGCTGGAGTTTAGGGACAGCACCCAGGCCCAGAGTTCAAGCCCCAGGCCCAACCCCCCCAAAAAAATATATGTATATAACACAAACATACGTATATATTTTTTCTAGGTTTACAGTGAATATCTCATCTCATTTATACTTTTTTAAAAACTCGATAAGGTAAATCTAACATTTGTTTCTTCTATTTGTATGTAACTCTGAATGCATAGTAAAATACATATGTAAATATACTGGTGAATATAATTACATTATTGATGATTTAGTGAGTGTCACAGCTTATTAGCAGATATAGTATATGCATTTGTAAGTGAATTCCATTAATTTTTTTATTTGAAATGGTTGGTTTTTGTTTCCTTCTTCAACCTAACATTTATGAAGTTTCATAGTTGTGGTTTGGGGCTCAATGCCAACCTTGATTAGCACAGTAATATTTTTTATTTCAACTTTGACAATTCCATATATAATCATCTGATTTTCTTTCCAATTGAATTAAAAACTTTTTTAGAGTCAACCTTCACTCATTCATAAAAAATTTTTTTGAGCTAGATAGACCCTAGGATTACAGAAGTTACAAGATAAAGTCTCTGGCTATATGTTACTTACTTTCTTATGCAAGAGTCATAGACTCGAATAGGCTAGTCATAATAAAAGTAAATCAAGAGAAGCGGATGGAAGGATGACAAATGAACACCACCACTTAAGCAACTGCTCAGGAGCACCATCGGATACTGAAAAGGGGACAGTGCTGTTTAATTCTTTGATTGTTATCAGGAAGGAACTATGGCAACTGTTACTAGATGGACCAAGTTGTTTTTTTTGTTTTTGTTTTTTTGGTCTGGTCATGGGGCCTGAACTCTGGGCCTGGGCGCTGTTCCTCAGCTCTTCAACTCAAGGCTAGCACTCTGCCACTTGAGCCACAGCGCCACTTCCGGCTTTTTTCTTTTTGCTTATGTGGTGCTGAGGAATCGAACCCAGGGCGTCAGGCATGTAAGGCGAGCGCTGTACCACTGAGCCAACTTCCCAGCCCCTGGACCAAGTTTTTAAAGAGAATTTAGAACACTGGATTTTTATGTAAAATTTCTCCATCTTATAGTGTCTTCTATTTTTTTGGAGGGGGGGGGAGTGTCCGATCGTGGGGCCTGAACTCTGGGCCTGGGTACTGTCCTTCAGCTCTTCAGCTCAAGGCTAGCACGCTACCACTTGAGCCACAGCATCACTGCCGGCTTTTTTTTTTTTTTCTGCTTATGTGGTGTTGAGGAATCGAACCCAGGGCCTCATGCATGCAAGGCAAGTGCTGTACCACTGAGCCACCTTCCCAGCCCCTGGACCAAGTTTTTAAAGAGAAGCTAGAACACTGGATTTTT